GTTAGTTATTTGTACCTCATTGTTAAATAACCGGCCTCATCACATTTATAATTAGTTCAAAACTAATGGTTATAACAAATTGTTTAAAGAGTTTTTTAAAACTTTTTACTCCAGAAAAAGTTATTGCACATTTACAATTAGTTCAAAACTAATGGTTATAAGAAATTGTTTAAAGAATTTTTTTAAACTTTTTACTCCAGAAATAAAATTTGTAGAGCGTTGCGTTTTACATAATATCACATTAATTTAGATTGAAAACCAACCGTCATTGAATAAATAAAATAAACAAAAATTTGTGGCTGCATCAATTCTACTTTATCATTATCTATAATCTAAATTTTTAAAAAGAGTAGGGAAAGAGAAGGGAAAAAGTAGCGCAAAAAAAGAGATAATATAAAAAAGCAGATTTTTCTTCATAAGCAGTGCTAAATTTATATGATTTTTATCCCGGCTATTTATAAATAAAAAAGTTTTGATATAGCTGACTAATAACTCAGCGAGATATTAAAACGTATTATTGTTATAAATCTTACTAGAAATAATAACTATAATTAATGAATGACACAATTATTTTATATATGTGCAATAAAAATATTCTGTAAGCTAGTATGAAATATGAAAAGGAGAACACGTCGCATAGAAATTAAATAGAGAATGAAGCAGCAAAAATTTAGGAAAGTTGTCTTGCAACTTTTATAAAATCTTAAACTACTCATTACTAAACGCAAACTGGAAAGAAAATATTACATTACATAAAAGCATATATCTTGCCCGTGCATCAAAATTAATATGAGTCTGTTATTATAATTTGTTAGAAAATATGTTATTTTAATATTGATAACATAAATAATTTCTGCTTTAGATTTTTTTAATGTAGAATTGTACAGAATCATAGAAACCACGAAATAGAATTTCGAAAGCAAGGTTTCTTGTTTGCTTGTTTAGCGGAAAGCGTTTACTGTTCCTTCAAAGCCTACGACCTTCGCAAACAGCTGTTTAAAACAATTTCGATGAATAACTAGTCCATAATTGAAAAGTTCGATTTAAAATGTCTGTGGGCAAAATGCATTTCCCAGTAGTGTTCTTTATTTACGAATATATGAATTTAAATACAGTTGATAGCTTTATTTAATTCATATTATAATAGTTCATATCTGTTCATTTCTTTCAAATAGTTATATGCATCACTACGATGAGATCATATTGTAAAATGATACAAATTATTCTATCAACTCATTACCCAGAAGTATTTTTCCTCTGTTCTAAAGTACTTCCCATTCACAGTTTTTTGTGTTGGTGGGTGAGCACAGATTACAAGTAATATTATGCCCTCAATTTCAGTTGTGTTTGTACAAAAATTCTTTGTCCCAAATTCTTCTTTTTACATACACAAAAATGATCAAAGAATAAAAAAGTCTTTCAGTTTTCCTATTGTAATTAACCTTTCTAGTCATTTCAGAATAATATAAGAAATTCATATGTTTACTATTGTAAGAGCAAAGAAGAAGGAAGATTTTTAGTTCCGTTTCTATATTCTGGCAAACTGAAAATAGATTCAATCTCCAAGAACTAAAGAATAATTAGATTGCGTAGTGAAGCGTTTTTCCGTCTGTGGTCCGCAAACCACTAATGATTCCCTTGCGATTCTCCTAGATTTCCAAGAAAGGTAAAAAAGTAAAATTAAAAATAATTGAGTATACTACACTTTGAGTGAAAATTTTGGACTTTTCAAATATATAAGACAATCTTCTATTAGTTTTCCACCCAAGACTGAGATTTTATGAAATATACACTAATGTTTGTGAAAATTGCAACACCATGAAGAAATAATGAAAATTCAACCAAACTTACTGGAAATGGAAACTGAGGTTAGACAAGCAAATGATTAGAATTACAAAGCTATTCCGCATGTGTGGAATGAGAATAGGCAGCTTGTTCCATGTTTATAAAGGCCTGTAAAGTTGCGTTGAAATCTGCTTATTGGCCTCAGTCTGCGGTGAATGTTTAATTAGTTTTCAATAGACCTCGCCAAAAGCGAATGTTCTATACCAACAACTAACGGAGTTCGAACGAGGCCGCATCATTGGTATGCGAGAGGATGGACTTTCGCATCGAGCAATCGCTACCCGCACGCAGCGTAGTGCCACAACAGCGATGGGTGTTTGGAAGAAATGGACAGAAGAGAACCAAACAAGGCAAAATCCTAGCAGTGGGGCACACAATGGCGCATGGCACGGGACGACAGACACTTCATCCGCATAGCTATAATAGAATGTACAGCGTCCTCTCGTGTGTAAGCACAACGTTGGAGCACGGCTACAGGTGCTGTGCTGTCTAACTCCACGGTTCGTCGCCGTCTGCTGCAGAAGGGACTACGTACAAGGGTTCGTCTATGCAGGATTCCTTTGTCGCTGAATCACAGCCGCCTATGACTTCAGTGGGCAAGGCAACACAGTGCGGGGCATACCCTGTGGCAACAAGTTGTTTTCTCCGATATATCTCAATACAATCTGGAGGATGGTACTATGATGGAACAGTACGCATCAGACGTTGCAGAGAGGAACGTCATTCCCACAGTGTGTTATCTAGCGCCATACCGTGCAAACGCCTGCCGTAATAGTGTGGGGAGCTATTAGGTATAATTATCGATTCCATCTAGTGCAGACTGTGAGGAACCTCAACAGTGATCGCTACATAAGGGAAGTTGTGGAGCTAGAGGTCTTCCCCATTCTTCGACGCATTACGAACACTGTATTTCAGCATGATAATGCCCGAGCATATGCCTCAGATTGCAGAACAAGTTTTCTTTAGGAGACAACAGGTTTCGCTTCTTTCATGGCCTGCTCATTCTCCGCATATGTCGCCCATTAAGCATGTGTGGAATTCCATCGGTCAGCGACAAGCTTGTACAGGGGGCACACACGAAGACTGAACTTTGGCGCCAAGTCGAAGCTATATCGAATCCCATTCCCCAAGATTACATTCAGAACCTGTATGATTCAATGCCACGACATGTACGGGCTCTTATCGCTCAATGCTGGGGATACACAAAGTACTGATTTTCAATGCTCTTTTTTTTGTTTTTGTTTTTTGTTGTTGTTGTTTTGTGAATTTGATCATTTATTTGTACCGCTATCAGTAATATGGGGAATACATTTCATTCATTTTCGACAATTCCTTTATGATGCTGCATTTTCCATAAACATTAGCGTATTAACGGTTACCTAACTTATAGACTTTTCATTCTAGTCTAACCCTCAAAAGAGGGATTTAAAGCCCTATTGTTCTTCTAACCAATATATGTACAAACATAGATCAGCTATACAGGAATAGGTAGGCTCATCCATTTGATTAATATGAATAACAAAATTTATTTAATTTTTAGTTAATAAGGTAAAGATTATCCAAACTCTAATAGCCTTAGATTATTAATAAACATCAAAATGTTTACTATTAAGTTAATTACTAATATGAAACTAGTATGTAATTTTATTATAAAAATATATGCATACTGCTATAGCATTGCTTTCGAAAGGGACTAAGAATAAAATGGTTAGCAAAATATTCTAATTTATGAATGTGATCTCCATTCGAAAAACTCTGAGAAAACTGGCGTAGGGTTAGTTATCGGTTAAAACCAGGTATTCCTAAATACGAATATACTTAAAAAATATATATTATTATTCCTAAATACAAATAATATAAGTTTATCTAATTATTTTTAAAGCATTTTATCCATTACCATGATCGCATGTTGCATAAGTACACTTTTTTTTAGCCCCAGTTTCTTTTCTTTCTTTTCTTTTCTTTTTTTTTTTTTTTTTTTTTTTTTTTTTTTTTTTTGTATACAATATTTTGAAATTTTTTCAAATTTTCCTGCGGTATTTTCTTTTTCCTCAACTATACATTAGTATGGCGATGTATTGTTATACATTTGTGCTAATACCATTTGTTATACTTTAGCATACATAACACATTTTTTATATACATCCGCTGCACAGACTTTTAATAAACTTTTGTAACAAGTGACTGTGGCGTATAAAAATAAAATAATTTTTATAATTTTCTGTGTCTGTAAATTAAATGTTTAAGCATGCATTATTTTACAAGAACGCAATTGGATTAGATAGTATTTATTCTGTAAAACTGGAATTGCCATTAATTTAAGTTTTTTTCCATATAAAATGAATTTGACTAAAATGGCATAAGATACCATTTCAAATGTTTTTATGCAAAATACATTTTATGTACCATTATTTGTATGTTCATTTCTTAAGATGGAAAGTACTCATTCATTTCAACTACTAGATTTATGTTTCTAACAATTTAGTTTGATATAAAATGTATTACTAGAACTTATATGCAATGCACGATTAGAAAAAAGATTTGCATATTTTCAAATGTAAGTAGTTTTCTCGTACTTTAATGAAAATAAAAGCAAAATTAATTGAGTCGGAGTTCGTTTACTATTGTTATTAAAGTTTAACATTTCCCTGAAATATTTTACTTTAACGGAATTTGCATTTCTTCTGTTAAAGACAAATTTCATCCATTAGACGTTAAAAAATGGAATAGCTCACATATTTTCATCATATTAAATGCATCAGAAAATTTAATTTAAAGCTTTATGCTGCTTTTAAGCCTAAAAAGAAAATTAAAATTACGCCAGGAACTATTTTTCTCTCCGCCAATTGGATGCATTAGTGAAAGCAATTTTCTGCAAAGCCAAATTGACGAAGAATAATTTTTTCTCTCTCTTTCTCGCAAGTTTAAAATAAAAAAATAATAAAAAGAGAACCCTCGTTCAATAAGGTTCATTACATTTTAGTTCTAAGTTAAAGATTAAATAGAAAGCTTTATATTTTCCCTTTCTTTTATCAACAAACAAACACAACAGCGCCCTCTGTATGAGAAATAATGTATTATCGTTTCAAACGCAGTGCTTGTGTGGTATTGAAATGTTTTTTTTTTTTTTTTTTTTTTTTTCTCTCTTTTTTTAGGCTGTGTATACCAGATAGGAAAGAATGGAGTCTGATGAATATTTAATGCATTCAGATGACGTATTTTAAAATGGATTTTACTGCGGAGGTAGGCGAAGGAGAGGGGAGTCGGAATTTTTCAAAAGAGTATTTCTGCTACTTTTTATTTGATGCACCGAGATTGATGTTCATGCTTTCCTTCTGAGATATGGAAATAGGAGAAAAAAAGAGAGAAAGACTGTATTCTATTTATTTTCAATTTTGTAAGGCCTCGAGTTTTAATCTATTTTTTAGACATTCATTTCTCTCAGTAGAGGGATAAATTCGCTTTTAAGAGAGTTAGTGGAAATTCTTTTACAACAACGTATAAATAAATATCGTTATTTCCTTTTTCACTTTCGTTTATGTTTGATTATAATGTGCTGAAGAAGAAATGCGAGTTTTTTTCAAACTTGTAATTAATATTGGAAGCTTTAATGTTAATTACGCAAATAAATGTTTTCACTTTTTAGATTAAAGATTATTTATATAGTTTAAGAAAACCCTTGCATAATAAATGAGAAAACCTGAAGTTTAATTAAAAAGTCTTTTTTATAATGAACAAATTAAATGTAAAATAAATAACTTTTTCATAATTGAAAATTCTATTTAACTGATAAACAAAATGTTGGCTCATTAAAAGCAGGCTTTTCTTTCTAAATCCAAAGAAAAGATTGTATAAACAATTGATAAAAGTTTATTCATTTAGTTCTAGCATTTTATCTTAAAAAGCAAGCAAAAAAGTTTTGGATGGCAGGTACGTAATCATTTATTTAATTTAAGCGCCTGTCTTCTTTTATTAAAGGCTGTTCACGATAATAATTTTTTGTTAGTGGGAACTAATTATATCAAAATGCAAAATGGACGTATTCTGCATATTAGGGTATATATGTTTAAATAATTATTTTATATTATTTTCTAGATTTATTTATGTATAATTAAAATTAGGAAAAACATCTCTCAGGCTGGTGCTGGCTTAATAGAAAATTTTATCGATTTGGGAAATTTTTTTTTTTTTCGGAAGAAGTAAATGCATTTTATTTATTGAAGATGAAAGACTTCGATATTTAACATCCTCGAAGTCTATAAAAGTTTTATAAAACCAGGGCCAACTTAAAACTGATGTTTTTCTCTTTTTTATTTACCGCTGGTGAAGTCTCTTTTAGGCATAAAAGTCGTCATACTAATGTTTTTATAGGTCTAATATATATGCAAACTATAAAAAATAAGTTTCTTTGTAGAATAAATTGAAAATTTAAGCTTATAAATGAAGTTTACAATTCTTTTTTATTTCAGAACAGATACCATGCTTGTAGAGGTATTAGCTTTAATTTTTATTTATTTATTTATTTTTGGAACAGGAAACGTGGAAAATCAGTAGCAAAAAATCAATCTAGCAAAATTTCATACAATACACATCCAGGCAATAACGCAATTGTGTCATTTCCGTCAACATATTCGTTATCTCTGCTGCCTCCAAATTCACTTGTTTTAAGATTAGTACAGCTATTATTAAAGGCTATTTGTTCATGATAATAATTTTTTGTTAGTGGGAACTAATTATATCAAAATGCAAAATGGAGGTATTAGTACTCGAATAATGAATTCATAATAATTCTTGAAAAATGAAGTAATTCACCAAAACACATCATATAGTAAGAATGCAGTCAAAAGCAGAATAAACAGTATCGATTTTTTCAGGCCAAGAAATCCCACGAACAAATCTGCAACTTGCCGATATTTGAGGATACCATCTTAAAACAAATGACATACATATAAATTTCCTTGTACTTACGTAATACTGGCTAATCAATACAATTTGAGCCACGTTCTAAGCCTTGCCCACTTTTCTTTTAACTTTATGCTGAGTCCTGTTACATTAATTATGGTGTGTTTCATTATTTGACGTTGTTCGCATTCAAAGCTGTCTTACGGATCTTTGCAATTTACCATATACGGGAAAGGAAGACGTTACTCGTCTGTTTTCAGAATCACGGAATAGAAAGTTTGATAATTTTTTGTATCCAATCAAAGCAGTTACATTAAAAAACATTAAAAAACTATTACATTAAAAACTTTTTAGGGTTAAGACAGATACTTTATGCAAAGATCTTAATTTCTCATATGGAAGAGAAACACATTAATGTGAAATTTAAAATCGACAAGAAAGCAACCTGAGTTTGACGAAAGCTTTGAACAAAACTCTACTGATTTTGATGGAGATCAGATATAAGGTCTCTTTTTTTCAGGAACTAAACCATTTTTACCAAAAATAGATAAATATTTATTCAGAAATCTATCCAAAAGAAAGGTTGCTTTTCTGCTAATTTTATATCTTTATTTTTATTGCAAAGTATTACGCATTTTAAAAATCTGTAAATGGATCATATAGTAAATTTTAGCAAGCATGAAAATATTTCAGGTTTTGTTTTCTAGATGACTGCAGCTAGATTATATGGTGTTATGCTTGTTGATTAAATATATTTAGAAATGGTTGAGATAATTGATAGAAATCTTATATGTATGTACTCAGCTAATATCTCATTACCAAGTTAAAAAAAGATTATTCCAATGAAAACTTCCAAGAAATGCAGATTTATTTCTTGGTTCTGTTCTTGGAAATGCAGATTTATTCTTCTAATGATAGAAGCTTTAACTGAATAAAAATATTTCATTCATGCTTGCGTAACTGGAACTCAAAATTTTAATGATGAAAAGGCATCGTGAACTCGTAATGATGAGAATACATCTTAAAATATGTAATAGCAAATGCTGAAAGAATTCGTTATTAACTGACATTTTATGACCCTATCTATTATCTAGTATTATTCATTACACCTTTTTTATGTTTTAAATTCTTTTACGAATTGTCAAAGCGTAAACAAGTATTTCGAAAACATTTCACGACTGAACATATTTTGAACAGTTGGTGGTAAATTCATATTTCTAGATAAAGTTAATTAAAGTAGGCTTTAATATTGCGGCTAAGTAATGATTTTTGGTTAAATATAATCGATAGCTTAAAAATTTATATATGCGTCGTAGAAAAATTTCTGAATGTGAAAATTGTTTACCATGGTTGAATTAATCAAGCATAAACAAATCTAGCGGGCTTAAAATTACTATTCCGTACAAGGAAGTCATGTGGTGTACACAACAGATTTTTTTTCATTATTATTTACTGGGAAAATGTTATGTACAGCAGCAAAATAATTTATTACAAGACGACATTAATTAATAGCTGGAAATTAAAAAAATAAAATATTATTTTAATAAGTTTTTAAGACGATTTTTATTTCTCATCAATATTCATCCATGCATTTGATAGAAAAACAGAAAGATACTAGTATATAGCTCCATATTACCTTAATTAGTTTTCTTTGTAGTCTCTATTCGAGATCTGTGAGAGCTATTAATATATGATAAACATCGAAGAACGAAGTTTTCAACAGAATTTCTGATATCAATTTGCTACACTGAGCCTCAACTCAGTGTCCATTATAATTGAGTTTTCCATAGATGCAACATCACAATCGCGGAGTGACTACCATTGATCGTTAGACAACCCACCACTTTATTATCTACCCACCAGTAGATAAACCGTAATGTATATGGATGGCTTTTCTTTGTTCGTTGTAACGATGAGGAGGTCTAATCGCATCTGGCGTTTGCCCTAATTTCATTCATTGGGAGATTACGGTTACAGAGATCTAATCCAAAGGAAGATGAAAGCGCACTGTATCAGAAGGTTTTTCTTCAGTAGATTCTTAATTTTCTCCGTATTTGCTTTCATAAATGACAGTGCATTGTTAACAAAAGTTAGTTGAACAAAATGTATAAAAAATAAGCATTTCAAAAGCTAGTTTCTGAATTAATGCGTAATATGACAATCTTTTATTTTTGTTGTATTAAGTAATCAATGAATTAAATGTATTAAGCCGTATTTTTAAATTTGTCATCTTTTGGCATGAAATTACTTCAGGAATAATTTCTTATTTGTTTGTTTATCAAACGCATAATAACTGCTTTTTTGGGTCTTCAGTCATTTGGAAATAGAACTGTTATGCCTGTAAATAAGTTAAGTTCTTCACTTTAATCTACCAGTTTTGTTTCAGTTCTGCTACCTTTACTTCCTTCTTCCTTAGATACTCTTGACTATCTTAATTTCAGTAGTGAAATATGCAAATTTATCTAGACTTTCAAAGCACTCAAGCGGGTGTTCAACAGCTAGAAGTTAGCTACTGAGAATACCACAACTAGGTGCCGAAATATTCGTGAACTTTAGTAACTGAGTCTGCCTTTTAGTTGTAGCACATGTCAGATATTGCAACTAAGGCCACCTGCTGAGCTGTAAGTTAATTTATTACAGTAGACTGCCTGTAAGGTAATCTTCATTTATCCGAACATTGTTTCAAAATCAATCCACAGATTAAAAAATCGAAAAATTGAGGAAAACGAAAGCAAATTTTGGTGTAATGATATAAGTTCTTGAAATACGGAAGCCTTTAAATATTTAGAAATAGCTATGAAAAGAAAGATTATGATTCATTCAATAAATCGCCCAGAAAGAACTCACAGTGCTGTTCTTTACTTTTATTTTTCATTTTCATTGATCTTAAAAAAATCCGGTTACTGAAGAGCGATTTTCGCAAAGAGGAACTTACGTATTTTGACGAGCTGGAAAGGAATAAACATCCGTATTACCGCGGATAGCCTTTGACATTTCGTGTTAGCAGTCTGGTTGTGCTCTTGTAGCTTAAATGCTTAGCACGTTCAGGATCTACTGTTCGATCCAGAGTGAGGACCCAGTTAATTTTGACTTTTATATAGTTTCGTTAGTATGGCTCTCTGGCTGGTGTGATAAAGTTCTAGAGATTAGTTGCTCACTTGTTATTGGTAAAAGTATCAATCTAATCCATTTTATAAATTATGTTTATTCTTCCTTGTGCAAACCTCATCAACTTCGAGTAATCAAAAGTTGACTGCAGTTAAACATAGCGAAAGATTTACAGTTTGAAATGTAGTCAATCTCCTGAATTTCAGATGGAATATAATTAAATTCTGTGCTTCTATTATTTAATTAGTATTCTGGTACTTATAAATAGCATATGAGATTTAAGCTGTAATTCAGTTTTGCTGTCCAGCTTTGTATCAGCTAATACAGTTTTGTTATCAATAACCCGAAACTTCAATTAATATTTTACTCGGCTTTAATTTTAGAGTGCTATTTCTTCGCATTAAATGTTGGTGTTAAGTTGCCAAACACTGCAAAAAACACTTAATTAACACAGTGCATGAAGGAAAAAGCGAGAATTGGTAAAAGGCTCCCTTTATTAGTAAACAACGTAGATTTAAAACGTGTGTTTGAATGAGACTGTTCAATTTATTTTCCAT